TAAAACTTTTTATAAATATGTTAAAATATTGATTATATTAAAATTAAATTTATTAAAGATCTCGGCCTTATTAAAAATTATTTAAATCGAAAATTTATTAAAATTAGTTATATTAAAATTTAAGGTTTAATTTTAACATTCAAAAATGATTATTATTTTATTCATTACATTTGATATTTTATTGCTGTCTGAAGTCTTATCAAACTTGTAAAAAGTATGGTACAAAATTTCTTGATTCAAATTAAAAAAGCTTATCAGATAACCCAGGTATTCAAAAAATTTAGTGAAAAGTATTTGTATCAAAAATGTTTCAAAATGTTTCTTCTGATGATTTTTAAAAATTTATTTAAATTTTCGATATCTTGGAAACGACTTTTAGAGGCATTTTATGATATCGAGTCTTATTATTACTACATAATTTTTATTAATTCACTGAAATTAGCAAAAAAACGCATTTGTAACTACTTAAGAATCCATATTCCATTCTCTCCTTTGAAGTTAAATACTAATAAGTCATTCAGAAAAGGATATATCGAATATTCAAAAATTTGCATAAAAATGAGGTATAAATAGAATGAAAATTTGCAGATGATCATATACTTTTACTGAGATGGAATGTAGCTACCAGACTGTAAGCATTATTTACATTTTGGTGAGTCCACGAAGTGGTACTTTTTTGTATTTTAAGAATCTAATTAGCACAAATTGTAATTCATTCGTTAATTACAAAATTATACTTTCTTTTTCGCACATATTACCTACATTTATGCTCAAATATGTGTGTAAACGTGTAAATATTTTATGAAGGATAAATCTTATCAGTGTCTAATTGGTGAGAAAAACGCTAACTAACCTTAAAAAGAATTAATTGAAGGTGTTTGCGTGGAAAAGTCATGGAGAACAACGGTTTGGTCCGTGTCCAGAAAAATGGTATCCATTGCTGAGCTTCAAAAAACCTGACCTCACACTTTTAAGTAAATGCGTCTTGCACATTGACACTAAAGAGGTAAACTTTTCATTTTACCTTTTAAGTTTCAAATAATTCCAAAAGTATTTAAAACTAATCTAAATTTATGCAAATTTTATTCCAAAACTAGTACATAGAGAGTAGCTTGCATCTTGCATTATTAAGCTGAAAATTATTGAATAAGTTTGTAAGGAAATATTTTTGAACAAAATTCAGCGACTAGTCATTTACAACTGGTGCTTTTTCAATAAATTTCACGCATTTAATACAATTATGATTGACGTGACCCCTACTACACATGGAGTTCACTGCATTGATTATTAACTTATAGAAAGTATAAATTTTAAAATTAATTCATAAGTGCTTAGCTAATTTTGATGTAATGAAAATTTTCGCATAATATGCTGTAATTTAGAATCAAACATCATATAGGGAGGTAGGCAAAATATGTTCCAATATGTTGAACGTGAAAGTCAACACTACTGCGGGAATGTATTCTCCATACGATCGTGAAGAGTTTAAAGATTTTCGCGGTAACTTTATTGATTAAAATTATTAATCATATGAAATTATTTTTCCTCCAAGTATAATCATAATCGTGTTGTTTGTACTACTTTTATTGTATTCATATTCATAAGTAATAAATTTAATCATTTGTCACATTCGTAATTGGTCATTACCGTTTTTTGACCAACGGTGACTCCATTATAATTCACTTTTTTCTTGTCACGAGTAGTATAAGTAATATGAAATGATATATTTATTATTATAATAACAACAACATAAATAAACAATGATTAATAATATAAAAACAACTACAGTAACAATGACAGAAGCAACAGTAACATAAGAAATGAAAGTAATATGAGTAATGAAAATAACACTTGCTGTTATGAATTGCTTTCTGCTGTCAGAATTATCACAAAAAATCAACGCTTATCAGTACTTGATAACTCTGTCATCAAATCGCTGAGTTCTGTTTAACTAAGAATGCGTTTAATCTTACTTCATGTCAAATTTAAATTCAGCAGATTTTAGAATAAGATCAGTTTGGTAAATAACTAATGTCACATATCCGTTTGATAAATTTGCTGACCTTTTGTTTATTTCATATTAGCTTATTTGCAGAACTGTCGTCAAAGTTAAAGCTGAAAGGAACGATTGATATTTTCCTTCAAGAAAAAATCCCGATTGATCATGCAGGAAATGATCGTCGGATGGTACTAGAGACGTTTAAAGAAGCCATAAATGCAGCCCCTGATAGGTCATGTATGTTTCTTGATGAGCAGGTCAAGCATTTTGACAAATTATCTATCAGAACTTTATAAAATTATCCGATAATGTTACTCATTGGTTTTTCTTAGCAAATTTAAAACTTATTTAAATTAAATTTGACCTTACTTGCACATATTTGAGGACTGCTATATATTTGAATTATAATATCAATTTTTGTCATCTGACCAATACCAAATTGATAACTTTACAAACTATTTTTCAAAGTTAAAAAAAAAAATATTTATCATGATGGATCATGACTTGATGAATTTTCAGCATGTTAAGTTTGTGGGATGTGAAAATCTG